TGAACCCGAAGAAGAGGGCGGAGAGAGTGGTGTCAGAGACGGACACAAAGACACAGAAGTGGGAGGACTTGAGGACAGAGAGGACTCCAGTGATCGACATATCCCTCAAACCGATGCCTCTAATGATCGCCCGTTTGTCTGCTTTGAAGACAATTGTGACAAACGATTCAAATATATATCACAACTAATTCAACACAAAAATAGAGTTCACATAAAGAATAAGAAGTTTGTCTGTAATGAAGACAACTGTGAATACAAATGTGTCACGAAATCGGATCTAATGTCACACAAACGCATTCATACGGGAGACAAACCATACGTTTGTGATGTCGAAAATTGCGGACAAAGATTTCGATTTAAAGAACAGCTAAAACGACACAAACTTACCATTCATTTGAATAATGAATAAATTTCGACAAAAAGCACAACTAAATGAACAAAAAACTATTCATTCGGAACTCAAACCATACGTTTGCGATGAAATCAATTGCAATAAAAGTTTCAGAATTAAATAATTTCTTAATCGACACAAACGCATACATTTGTTTGCAATTATTAATAAATAACTGTAATATTATTGATTGAATTTAAATAATATTTGTAATAAAACTCTTTAATCATATGATGTCTTAATATTCATTCTTAAGTTATAAATACAGTATTTATTATAATATTTAATTTTAAGCATTAGATTATGTCTTAAGAGAGCGTTGGATAAGAAAACTTTTAAATCTCTCGGGTTTTACATAAAGTTGATGTCAATCATGTGAGCGCTTCGGATGGGTATCTCTCTTCTCCAGCGATCACTGTTTGCCACGAATTGTCGGCTTTTGGTGCCAATTATAACCGGAAGAATGCTGTCATTGGTTCCGGAGTTCTATAGGTTTGAGATTCAATTGGTTTTACAATAAATTTAATTTCGTAAAAGTATTTGTATTTTGTGACAACCTTGTGATTAAATTTAGTGAACATTGACTTCAGGCCATACATACTGTCCGTTAAATTCTTAATATACAGTATTGTATATGTGTTTGAATTTATAGCTAAATTCTGTAGTGTATTGACACAATTGCGGACAAAAATTGATTGCAAAATCATCGGTTAATTGACACAAACAATAAATTCGTGTAAAAATAAATAAATTCATTGATTCATTGCAATAATTGATAAGAATAGTTAAATAAGACAATTGATTAAAAAATACAAATATTCCTAAACTGGTGGCCAATGATTGCATTGAATTTGCTATAAAACCACAATTGAATGCTAATTTATTAATTTATATTAATACTGTATAACAGTACTTACATCATAAGTCCAAGTTGGACTGTCCAATATTCCGATGGATTTCTATTTGTGTCAAATTCACAGCAATTTATGACAAAACACTTCTATTCACAGAAACTAATCATTAAATTGATTTGATTTTTCAAACAGAAGTGAATGTCTCGTGAATTGTATCAATAAATTGTTAACAGTTTATCACTTAATGAGAGAATTCGTTGAAAATACTATTGAATGCAATAAAGTCTTAACTGTTAGCGCGTTATTAAAAATGTTATTACAAATGTATTTTGGACTAGAATTATACCATACATTGAAGTTAATCTGAATTTTACATAAACATTAAAACTTTTAGGTATTCACTAGAATATTACCAGGACAATTAGAGTTCATTTTAACTTGATTTCTAATTTGTTGAAACTTTATTTAAATAAATTACAATCAAAATGCGCTGGTAGCTAATCAGTGAATTCAAAGTACATGTAATTAATATTTACAAATTTATTTGATATACAAGAA